CCTCATTTGATGTACAGAAGCTTTTTAGTTTAATGAGGTCCAATTTGTTGATTCTTGACCTAGTTTCAAGGGCAATTGATGTCTGGTTTAGACAATCCTTTCCCACACCTATATCTTGTACATTATTACCAAAATTTTCTTCTAAGAGTTTCAAAGTTTGAAGCTTCACATTGAGGTCTTTGATCCATTTAGAGTTGACTTTTGTGCCAGGTGAAAGATAGGGGTTTAGTTTCATTCTTCTACAGGTGGAGATCCAGTTTTGCCAGCACCATTTGCTGAACATGCTGTCTTTCCTCCAGTGAATGTTCTTACCTCGGTCAGACTGGTTAAGATCAAGAGAACAAATGATACTAAATGTTGCAGAGGATGTGGCGAAAGGGTAATGCTCATCCACTGCTTGTGGGACTGCAAACTTGTTAAGACCCTATGGAAAGCAGTATGGAGAACTCTTAAAAACTGCAAATGAACATACCATTTGACCCAGTTATACCACTCATTTGAATATACCCAAAGATCTCAACCTATTGCAGAGACACTTGTACCTCTATGTTTGTTGCTGTTCTTTTCAAAATAGCTAAGAGATGGAAGCAACCTAAGTGTCCCTTAATTGACGAGTGGATAATGAAAATGTGGTCCATTTACACGATGGAGTTTTACTCAGCAGTAAACGAAGATGAAATCATGAAATTTGCAGGTAAATGGATGGAATTGGAAACTGTTATACTAAGTGAAGTAACACAGACTGAGAAAACAAATGACATGTGTTCTCCCTCATATGTGGATCCTAGCACCAAATCCTTTTAAATTCCATGTCCTTTTAATAAGATGATGCTGTACAGCAGTCTCTTCTGCACGAAATAACTACCATCATCACTTCAGCTGTGCCTGATCACTAAACATCGGCACAACTGGGCTTTTTCACGGTTGTGTTCATTCATTTAAGGGAGGGCCAAGCAGGGTCATTGGACCCTCATCAAGATTATCCATCTACTCTTCCCAGCCAACTGTATGTAAATTGACCCTAATCACACATGACCTCTTGGATTTGGGGAGGGCTAAAGTATACAATCTGGGGAAGGCTAAGAAGAGAAGGCATGGCCCATGCTGGGTAAAGGCTTTCCAGTGTGCATACCCTCAGGTCATACATACACCTCAGCAACCCCTCAGTTATCTCGGTAAGTAAGCTCAATAAATTCATTGGTTCCCCA